GTAGATGGTAGTCACATTTTAAAACTGGGTCTATTTTAGTGTAGCAGAAAGTTAAACTTAGAGTTGGTCTATCATCTCCTTAAAAAAAGAAAAGAAGAAAGTGTAAACATGTTGTTGGGCTCTTCTCCCATGAGATTTTTCTTTAGGCCACTAGATGGCAAAATTTGAGATCTTATAAACGTGGGAAGAACCATCTGATGAGTAGTAATGGATGATCTATGAAAAGTACGAAGTGAGAAAATAAGAGAAGAGAATCCTGCTAGTACGCAAGCTGCCCGGCCCTCCTTTCTGAAAATCAAAGCAGTACCGAGCGGTTGTCAAGGTCACGAAATCTGTTCTCACCCAACCTTCTCCTAATTTACCCAGAGTAATTACTTTCCTGCCTGGACATAAATTTCTCTGTCTAGCAAATTCGCTTGAAATGTACCCTTTCTCTGAAACCAGAACTGCTACTGCGGGTTCTGTGAAGGCCAGGGATACGGATGTTCAGCACTCTAGCAGGACCGAGCACTCCGCACCGTGCTTGGTCTGAGAGATCAGCTAAGCAAACACAAGCACTGCTCTCTTTCCTGACTCTGCTATGCTCTCAGGGCATAAGCTATGATTAAACGTCCTCTGAATTTGTCCTAGTTCTCTAAGACTGACTCAGCTACATCTACCACCTGCTTCCTCTGAAGAGAGTTTACAGGGTTAATGAGATAATGCTGCCAAAGGCCAGATCTTTGAATGAAAGCTGCTAATTATAAAGAAAGCATCAGTGGGTGTACACATAGCTAAAGCCTGACCTTGCATCTGTGTCTAAATGCTCCTGAAGCAGGTGACATCACCACCACAGGTAAGAGCATTTTTTTTTGAGATATAAAAATGATTAAGAGGTGAAAACCAGGCCTTGGAATGAAGAAATATCCAGGAGTCAGCTGCTCCATCTGCAAAAATGGCAACATGTTCTTTTTATTGCTAAGAAAAGTTGTACAGGAGTGGAAATGCAACTTCACTGAGAACAGACGATGGGAGACAAGGATTTACACATGACAGGATGACTGACAAGACACTGAAACGTATAGAGAAGAGAGCGACGGAAAGCAGGCATCCTACACATTTTTAATTTTAAACCTGATGATCTCTTGTCTAGCCTGTGGAATATAATGCAGTTTGGAGGCTGCTATCTGTAGAAGCCACTTTATTTCTGTTCATGACAGAACAAGCTTACTCAGTGGGGACATTACCTGTGGATATTTTTTTTCTTTGGCTGAGTTACTAATCTTTTTCTGTTTTGTTTGCTTTCTTTCCCTTCCTCCCTTCCTCCCTCCCTCCCTCTCTTTCTGTCTGTCTTTCTTTCTTTCTTTCTTTCTTTCTTTCTTTCTTTCTCTCCATATAACATTTCCCACTAGAGACCTCTCTAATCTGGTACTTTAAAATGGTTCTTGTTTAACTTCACTAGCAGGTAGGAACACAGCACAGATCCTCATGAAAGGACTGAGGCAGCCCTTAACAGTCTGACATCTGAGAAGTGCTCCCATGTCCTTCCCTGTTAGAGAAAAACTCTTCCCAAAGTTCTTTTAAAAATATTTTTGTAATTGTAATTAGACCAATTTTAAATTAGAAACAAGCTTCTTTTACATACCAATCCCAGTTCTGTCTCCCCCCCCCCTCCTCCCCTGTCCCCCCATCCCAACCCCTTTCTTCTCCCCAGGGAGGGGGAGGCCTTCCATGGGGATCTTCAAAGTCTGTCATCTCATTTGGAGCAGCTTTCCAAGGTTCTGAAACAAACACTTGCTTTCCTTTCTTCTCCCTCATCTCTCGATGTCTTCCTTTTCACTATCTCTCCCCTCATTTTCCAACTAATATTAAGTTTTATCTGTACCAAGCTCTGGCTTAGGCCCCTAAACATGAACTACTAAAAATACATCATAGTTCATACTGGAATTGTTATTTGGGGTTTTGGCTTTGTAATCTTCCTGCAGTCAACAGCACTTAGACAACAAGACTATTCCATGTGAAACTTTGTCATCGTAGCCATCTCCAAGAATAACTTTCATACATTATTTGTTACGGCTTCTTTGGAGGATAATTTTGATTAGGAAAAGTTATTTCTTTCTGTTTGGTTTTGTTTTGTTTTGTTTTGAGTCAGGATCTCATTCTATAGCCCAAGCTGGCTTCGATTTCTGTGTAGCTTAGGTTGGTCTTGAACAATTAATCCTCCTGCCTCAGCCTCCCACCTCCTGGAATTACATTTTACATTGTTACACCTATCTCAAAGGTCTTAAATGGATTTCTTTTTCCTACTAGAGAAACCTAGTTGTTGTTTTGTTTTGTTTTGTTTCTGATTCAGATGAATAAGTGAGATTACCAACCTAGGTTCACAGAGCTAAGAGTAACACCCAGAGAAAATGGAAGGGTCCCCTATGCTACTGCACTGCTCAGACCAACAGCCGGTATTCCCCACTATCCCCTGGAATCCCCCAAGTATTGAGCACAGATCTGATACACTCCAGTATTTCACTACATGATGGAAAATAACCTCCAGTTCTCAATAACAGGTTACACAAACCCCTGTTCCCAAATGCTCTTAACTGATTTTTAAAATAATCTGCTAATCATGTCCTTTTAAATGTGCACCTACATATACATGTGCTCCCACATACAAATGAACATACACACACAGCACTGCTGCAGGATCTTGCTTATAATCTGCCAATACATATGGAAATGGATTTCTTTCTTTTTCTGTTCTTTTGAACCTATGCAGTGGTATGTTAAATTCACTGTGCTGAAGTTGAAAGACAGCTGGTTTCCAATGTCAGGTTCATTAATAATAATAATAATAATATGGAAACAACTTTCCTTTGGATTGTGGTTTTGAAAGTTTATTTATTTCTTCATGTAGATTACTCATTTCTATCATATTCTTCCTAGAACTGTTATTTGAAATATGGCAGCCAGCAACTCCTGTTCTGTGCTCTCAAAGGCATGCTTTCAGACGGAAGGACCAAAGGCAGTACCTACAATCAGAATCAGAGAACCAGTGCTGGGTGGCAGCCATTCACGTGAAAAGTCAGTTCTGCCATGTATGTAACTATCAGGGCTCAAGAGAAAAGAGGAGGAAACCAGCTCGGTAGGTCTGTTGTGTGAACTGGATTCGGCAGCATACCAAGACCTCCTACGTATCTTGTGTCCTCGAGGACTTACTAGCTAACAACCTAACAACACCAGCCTGGTAACCACAGGTCTGAGATGAAAGGACGCTGGCTAAAGAGGTGTTATTCTAAGAAAGAAAACTCTTCTTGGACGATGCCAAGCCATCCTCCACACATCCATACTGTGCAAGACTCTAGCGAGTACGTCACACACAGCACGTAAAATAAAAAATAATTTGCTAATCATGTCCTTTTAAACGTGTACCTGCACACGTTCTCCCATGTACAAACGAACATAGACACACAATACTGCGGCAGGATCTTGAGAATACTTTCTCTTGGGAAAATATTGCTCCAGCCGTGATCTCTGATGCCAGAAACCACCAGTCCCTTCATGATGGCATTTGGCACTGGCTTGGAGCTTGCCTGCTGTAAGGTCGCCTGTTATGCTCTATTTGCCAGCACAAAGCACTTGTGAAAAGGAAGCAAAGGAAACACAAACAATGGACAAAAACCCCAAGCTGGATGAAATCAACAGCCAAAGCCCAAGGCTGAGAAGCAGCAGCCTGCAAAAACTTCCATAGCAACTGGGAACTGACAAAACGTTAGACAACATGCCTGTGCCTGCTTCCCTCCTCCTGCAGAGGCAGAGGCCTGCAGTCCTGACTGGGAACTTTCAGCAGCTCTTGGGTGGTCTAGAATCCCCCTCCCACCGCCAGTCTTGACAACCCTTCCTTAATTTGATTAGTCTCATTTTTCCCACCCTATTTTCATACCTACAATCAGCCTGTCAGGGCCTAGCTTGTCCCCTAGAAATTCAGGCCCTCCAGGGTTTCAGAACCTGAACCACCTCAGAACCACCTGCAGGAGGAGGCAGACAGGAAGTTGCTGGGCTGGAGGCCTGGCCTGCTCTCTTCAGAGGAAGCGGCCTGAAGACTTCAGGATCTGACCCCCGCTTGCCTTTCTTGTCTCTTCCTTCACTACTCCTTAGAGGCACAACATCTGCTCAGGCTCCCACGGCTCCACACTCCAGTACCTGACCTGTGATTGCAGGCTGAGAGGATTGTTTCCTGTCACAGTTTCCAAGACTACATTTTGACTGCATAAAGGACTGTATCTCTGCAGCTGCTTCCAGCCTCCAAAACTACCACACTTCAAAACCTGCCAGAGACGTTGTTCCCCTTGGAAACTTCTTTCTGCAGATTTGCTCTACAAGGGACTGCTCTTGATTGGCTCCCTGAGGTCTGAGGTCATCCAAGAACTTTCCAACTGTAACCCTGCTGAGGATCTGAACTTGGATCCTTATGCTTGTGGAACAGACACTTCACCAGCCAAGCCATCTTTCCAATGCCCTGTAAAGACTTCCAGTGCCCTCAATATATATGTATATATGTATGTGTCAGTTTAGAATCTTTGTCTTCAGCTCATAGTAGTTACATATCTGTAGGAAAATAAAAAGCTTAAGTCGGGCGGTGGTGGTGCTTGTCTTTAATCCCAACACTTGGGAGGCAGTGGCAGGAGGATCTCTGAGTTAAGAGGCCAATCTGGTTTACAAAGTGAGTTCTAGGACTGCCAGAACTACACAGAGAAACCCAGTCTCAAAAGAAGAGGAGGAGGAGGAAGAGCAAAAGCTTTTCAATCATAATCCCTTAACAGCACATGTAGATGAAACCTGTGTAGTCAGAAATGGAAACTACGAAACTCAGAATTCAAATTGTTTTGTTGTTTGTTTTGTTTCTGAGACAGAATCTCACAAACATAGCTTAGGCTGGCATGAAACTTACTATTGATCCCAGTCTGACCTGGAACTCACAGTCCTCTTGCCTTAACCTCCCAAATGGTAGGGACTAGAGCTGTGCATCCTCATGTTTGACATGTTCTCAAGACACATTGAAAAACCAGAAATGCATTTACCTGGGCAATTATGTCTATGATTTCTGAATAACTATGACATCTTCTCACACACGATCGAGCCAAAAAATCTTCTACCAGCCGTGTTCCAATACCGTAACCCCTGCGGATGAAGGGAAGTGTGATTTGCACAGTTGATAACAAGCCAAGCCCAACATAACAGGTCAAGTTGTCTTAGGTAATGGGTTTTGTATGTGTTCCACAGACCACAGGAGCAGAGGTCAACATTTCTAGGAAAAATTAATTATTCTCTGCAAGGAGAAGAGTCTGACTATTGTTGAGGCCAGCCCAAACTTGACGGTAAATTCGGAGAAGGGTGGTTGCCTGCATCCTAATATTTTTCATTGTTAACTGTTGTGAAACAGGGTAAATGGTTGCTGACTTTTCAGCCCAGAATGTGGCACCTGGATACTGCGGCCTCTCTTGGTATCCATGTGATGGCAGGGAGCAGCTTTACCAGAGGGGCTGTGTAAGGAAGATGGGAAGGGAACAGAGAAATACACTTTTGCTGCCAGTGAACGTTTCAGTGTTTAAGTTTCTTAAGTTTATCTCCCTCCCCTTTCCACCTTTCTCTCCCAAGCACCCCCTCCTCCGTGTGTGTGTGTGTGTGTGTGTGTGTGTGTGTGTGTGTGTGTGTGTGTGTGAAGGTGGGCATGAAACTTCAGAAGATACATTTTTCACTCCATAGAAACTGGAATGATGGGTCCAGGAAAAGTACATAGCTACCTACTAACTCCTCCCAATCAACTGTCTGTAGCACTAGTTGAAGTACGATTGAGAAAGCCCTTTACAGAGGTGCCATAACATAACCAAGTAAGTGGCTAAGATGGCCCAGCAGCTTCTTGAACAAGATAGCCTGAGAAACTTAAGTTTCTAAGAAAGACACCAAGAGATTCCAGAGTCTCTGTCTTATAAGAACTTATAATCCAGTTACAGATATAAGGCCTTAAACTACCAGCAAAAAGGAATATTGTTTTTCCTTGCCACCAGCCAAAACAAATGGCCTTTACTTGCACAGCCACATATAAATGGACAAGTGAAACCATTTGGACAGAGTAACAGAAACCCCCAAGAAAACCAGTGCTGGAATTTCCCAGGGCAGTATTTGTGCCTTGGAAGCTGAAGTGGAAAAATATTGGGTAGCTTGGCAGTTATGGGGGGGACATATGGGGAGGACATTGGCTCTGAGGACAGAATTCTTAATAATTCACCAAATCCACTGAGATATTCTATTTATTAAGACCAGGGCATCTGTGTGGGAGAGAGAAATGACTCAGCTGTTCAAGGCTATGCCAAAAAGACAAGAGGTTTCTCCAAAAGACAGCTAAGTGTAGTCTTAAATATTTGTTATTAATCTTTATGTATATATAGACTCAGCCACTGGACAGGGATGAGGAGAATGTAATGAGCAGTGTGCACACTGTACATACTGTACATATGTAGAATGTACATGTTTGTATGTATGTGTTTGGCTTCCACCAGAGGATATGTTTCTACAAAGTACATGTTTATATGTGAAATATAGAATGTGAAATGCTCTCAGAAGCTATTCAAGATGTGCACATGGGAAACATTTTTTTCTCAAGCAAGGCCTTGGTAAAGCATCTCAAATTTCATTCTTTGCCCACTGTTACACTCACGTCTGGTAAGCTGGGCACCCAGTTCACCAAATGTGTTTTTAATCAAATAAGGGAGTTTCTCTGTCTTCTTCAGCTATTCCACAAAATGACCAACATAAGTCAAATAAATTGGAGTAGTTTCTGGAAACGCAACATCAGATGTATGTGTCCTAAGCTTAGCCAACGGTATCAGTTCAGCTGAGGAAGAAGGGGACAACGCTGCAGGTGCTGTCTGGAACTTTGTGCAAATACAACTAGCAAGAGTAGATCAGTATTTATCCCTAGCATAGGTGTGGACTTTGGGAGCCCATTCTACATAGAGGGATACTCCCTGAGCCTAGATACATGGCCTAGGCCCTTTCCCAAAGGATACGATAGACTCTGATGACCCTCTATGGAAGGCCTTACCCTCCCTGGGAAGCAGAAAGGGTACATGATAGGTAGGGTTTTAGTTGGGAGGGTGGTAGGGGAGGAGGGAAGGGAGAAGGAGGGAGGAACTGGGATTGACATGTAAAACAATCTTGTTTCTAATTCAAATAAAAAGAGAATGCAAAAAAGAGAAAGAAATGCAACAAAACTATGTGTACCAAACTGAAAGAACTTCCCCCAAAGAAGATCATAAGTACATGGAAATGGAAGAAAATAAAATTTAAATGTTCTCCCAAGTTTTCCTTTATGTTGACTCCCTCTTGGAAAAACACATGGATCCTTTTTAATACTCTTAAAACCTAGGCTCAATATATTGTCTTGACCCCGCCTGAATAAATCTTATAATCAACCTGTATTTCCCAGTCATTACTCTGCTATATCTCTTTTTAGAGGCCATAACGAAGACGTTGAAAAATTCTAGAGCTACAGCAGTTTAGGTGGGACAGTCAGTTGGGGAGATGGGGAGAGAATGGCTGATACAGGTGGGTCAACAAGCTCCTGGTGCCTGAAAAAGCTACACTGAAATCTGATAGTTGATAAACTAGTCAAATAATAAAATTGTGGCATGGCAGGGGAGATGGCACAGTCAGTAAAGTGCCTGCTGTGCAAGCATGAAGGCTGGAGCTCAGATCCCCAGCACATGAGTAAACGCCACATAGTGGCACGCAACTCTACCACTGTTACTCTGAAACTCTGACACTCGTGATGGGAGGAGCTGCCTGGTCAGCCATCTTTGACAATCAGTGAGCTCTGTGTTCAATAAGAGAACCTGTATAAAATAAATACATAAGTAAATAAATACATAAATATATAAATTGGAGAACTGGCAAAGATGGCTTAGCAGGTAGAGGTGCTTGAGCAAAGGGATGATGATGTGTGTTCAAGTCCCAGTGGAAGAATTGAAACAATTCCCCAGAGTTGTCCTCTGACCTCCACAGTCATGCCGTGGCAGGTACACACACACACACACACACACACACACACACACACACACTTGAATTGAATAAATAAATTTAAAAGCAAGTTTTAAGGACTATACCCTGTGTGAGCACATGAAAGTGTTCTCAGAAGCCATAGGTTATTAAACAAAAATAGCTAAGGTTGGGCTACCTCCCTGTTAGTTGTTGGTCATAGAGGTCTCTGAGGTCTTAAATCAATACAAGCAATTGCTGCTGGTTTTTCATCAAAACTAACATATCCTAGTCAGGAATTATTGGTGAAAACAGCAAACATCTTAGTTGCAAGACATAGATAAATTAATCTGGACCTGGGCTAGAAGCTTCCTTGATACTGGCCACTCTCACAGTACTGGGTGTTAATGCAGAGAAGTGTCATTAGCATTCTTACTCAGCTGTGGGTCCCCTGTGCAACAATACTGACCAGCCAGGCAAGGTGAGCACACTGATGCAATAATAGCAAGTCTGCTATGTGGTTACCACTTTCTGACTGGATTTGATGATGTCTCCACGGGAAAGAAGTCGTGTTTAAGACTGTAAACCCAGTCAAAAGCCTGTGGCTGGAGAGATCCTAGACCCAAGCAGGGAACCTATTGTTGTTGCTTTGTTAAGTGGTCATGATAAACATATAACTGCTTTACAAATAACTATGTTTATATCTGTATAATGGTGCTGCTGCCAGCTTTGCTAAGAGAAGCTTTTTTTCACTTTTATTAATTTATTTTTTACACTCCAATCCCAATTCCCCCTCCCTTCTTTCCTCACACTCCCTCCACTCCCCTCTCCTCCCATCTGCTCCATGGAGAGGGTAGGGCCTCCCATGGGAAGTCTACCAAGTTTGTTCCATCATCTAGTTGAGGCAGGACCAAGGCACCTCTCCATCCCTACACCCCCGTGTCTAGGCTGGGCAAGGCATCTCTCCATATAGAATGAGGTCCACTAATTCAGTTTGTGTATTAGAGTTAGATCTTGGACCCACTGCCAGTGGCCTCATCTATTGTCCCAATCACATCATTTTTTAAGTTGTCACCCGTGACTCGTTTATACTCTACTGAAAATAAATAAATAATGATTGAATATCCAGCCAAAAATGGGGCTGTGGTATCACTCGTTCCAAGGCTTACAGAACATTGAGGATGAAGATGCAGAGACAATGTAAGAGCTGGGAGGATGGAGAGAGACATGGAATGCTGGCATCCGGGCATGGGGTGACTGTTGTACTCAGCAGCTGCAATTACCCACATACCATTTGTATAAAAGGTGGGCCAATCAACAGTCTGTTACGAAATGGGGAGGGGTTCCTTCCTTCTGTTTTATGCAGGTAATGGTTGATAGAGGAGGGAGAGACATTTTGCTCAGTGGTGTAGCCACTGGTAAGATGCCCATCATCCTGTAAACAACCCCATTGAAACTCACTGGGTATAAAACAGGCACGGAAGAAGTGGAGCTAAGCGAAAGAGGAAGGGGGTTAGCGGGGATGAGGGGACAAGAGAGAGTAAAGAGAGTGAATATGATCAAAACACACTGTGAACATGTATGAAGGTGTCATGATAAACCCATTATTATGTGCAATAAACACATGCTCATAAAACATTAAAAAAGAAAATGTTAAAAATAGTGACAATATTATAATAATTTGGTGATCATATAATTATTTTGGGGAAACTAGAAGGTTTAGTATAAACTGGAGGAATCTTCACTAATGAAATCAAAAAGGAAGAAAGGCTTTATTTAAAAAGGAAAGATTGGCTTTTATATTAGAAATCTTTTTTAAAAGACACAAGCAGTGGAAGTATTATATAAGAAAAAGGCACTCCCCTTTCAATTGAGTTTTTCTGTCTTCTTGGGGAACTTCTGTTAGTTTCTGTTTCTTTGCTTATTTATTGCATAGGTCCTAATAGGTGGCCCATGCTTACATAAGCAAACATTTTCATTGTAGGGAATTGTGAAAATTGAAAATCAAATTGGAAATTCCATCATCTTACTAATGTTACATTTGTTCCATAATGTCAGCTGCTCATATGTGACTAAAATAACTCATTTCCAACCTGGAAAAAGAGAATTCTATATTTGATAGAAAGAAGGAAAAATTCCTTCCTATTAGTTTAAGCTGAGTTGTAAGGAATTATGTTCTGCTTTCAGATGTGGTTCGTAGAAGTCAAGGAGAAGCTGGGAAGGGGGAGCAAGCCATTAGGAGCTGGAAAACACGGGTTCTGTTAACAAGCAATAGATTATTAACAGCAGAGACATCTACTTACATTTTATCCAAGTATCTGTTCACATCTTCATCTTTTTCATAATCCTTGCATAGCTGGGCCACCAGTGCTCCATAGGTAAGTACAAAAAGGTCTTTGTTCTGTAGGGGGAAATGTTCATGGTTTTAAGGCAGTTATGACAATATATTACTGTGTTCTTTATTTTCATCTATGGGTTGGAATCACACTCAGAGATTTTTTTTCACCTTTCCCACTCTCCCACACTATAACAGTTTGCATTCTCGAGTCATCTTTTACATTTATTCGTGTACATTGCCAGGCTGGGAGAAGTCTATGTTCTATAGTATCTATTGCATACCTTGATGTGGATTTTCATGGAGGAAGGTTTTTTAAACTACTGGTTTCTTATACAATTACTATTATTCTGGAATGCCTCATGCTTTGCACTGCCTGTTTTCAGTTGGAAGGAAAAACTGGCTCCTTGTGAGTTTGCATAGGCTCTTCTGAGTCCCAGATTGGCCTGTGGAGAATGTACTCTGCACTGTCCATCCTACAGAGCCAAAGGAGGACACAGAGAATACAGATACTTGCCCAGCCATCTGGAGCCAGAAGCCGCCCCCTACCCTAACTCCAGACTCCAGCTCTAACCCAGAATTAATCACTGACGAACACGTGTGGAGGGAGCAGAGGCAAATGACAGAGGGAGGTGGAAGTGGGAACACTTGAAAATAAGGGTGTTTCACAGAGTACTGGACTTTCATGAGAGGTCAATGTGGATTTCAGGCTAGGAGGGCCATCCTTACCTCTCCCATCAAGTGTCTTAACTGCGTAGGTAGGAGAGCAGAAGCCTGAGCATGTATGGGTTTATATTTTAAAGATTGATGTGAATGTCTTTAAAAAATAACTGTTTATTCAACCAAATAACTTCTATAAAACACCATGGATTTTGATGAAATAATTCCAAAGTTAACCCAATGTCTTAGTGTCCCCACTGGGGAACATTTGAATGAGATGTGTGGGTTTAGATCATGATAGACATGCCTCTCTGCCTAGTGAAAATATTTGTCATTGACAAATTTTGAAAGAAAAGAATCTAAATATTAGTTGGTACATCTGGACCAGTTTTTGTAAAAACTAGATACAAAATGTCATAAGTATATGTAGAATAGACATTATAAATTAATTTATATGGCATGTTAATTAATATTATAATAGTACATATAATTCAGGTATAGGGAAATAATATGTTAATGCTTTCTCCAGGAAATAAGGGATGTAAGCAAGAGATTTGAACAAAAATAATATTAACATAACACTGAGGGACACAAATGTTCAATTTTATTCCTGTTCTTGTGATATAAACTCTCCAAGAGGTTCAACATAGAACACAAAAATATATTATGTACAAAGCTTCTGCCTAACATAGAAGCCACAGCAGAGAACTAAGCATTGCTATGTACCAATGCTGCAGCATAGAAATAAACAAATGTGGACGTGGCAGGGGAAGCAGGAAAGAGAGGGAGAGAGGGAAGAGGGAGGGGGGAGGAATGAGAGGGGAAGGGGAGAAGGAAAGTGGTAGAGAGGACAAAGAGGAATGTGTTTGTTGCTAGTCTACACAAATAAGAATTGTATGGAGAAGAGAGAAGAAACTGTGTCTTGAGTATGGTGTCTGTTTTGAATTAAAGCCAAGGTGAAGCCTCCCTGGAATCTCAGGCTCTCTCCCTCCCTCTCCCCCTTCTCTCCCCCCTTATTCCCTCCCCCTTCCTCCCTTCCTCCCTTCCTCTCCCCTCTCTCCATCCCCACAGGATATACTGAAACATGTTAGCTTCCACCTGAGTTTCAAGTACATTGTCCATAAAGGTCCATTTCTTCATCTTGTTTCATGACCAGAGATTATGCTGTGAATGGCTTAACTAGCCTATCTTTGTAGGTCTCAACTCCATACTGCAGACCCCCAAAAATATCAACAGGAATTTCTTTCTGGTTTTCAAAACAATAAAATCAACCACTTTCATATGAAAATTAGAACTCCAGTAATTTTTCCCAGTGGTTTGGGGTACACTAGTATACAAAGGTTTAAACTGGTGTATGTGTGTGTGTGTGTGTGTGTGTGTGTGTGTGTGTGTGTGTGTGTGGTGATTTAGGCACAATTTGGATCAAGTGCTATACATTTTTGTCATTTGGTAGTTCAACAGACAAATGGTTTAAGATTCCAAAATGCCAGATGAAGTATTTGTAGGCATTTCCGTCTGTGATGCACACCAGTTAGTCAATGCAGCCTTGAGAGCACAGGGTTGAAATGACCTAATTACACCAAAGGCCCACCAGTCCTGAAACAATTAAAACAGCATTAAACACAACAACAAGTTTTCCTGCCTGTACTATCTGAATTACTAAAGCTATAATGAGGAAATTTTTTATAAAAGAGTATTACCTCAAATTAAATGAGCCAAAACAAAATGTTGTAGAAATAAGCAAATTTGGAAGATGTGTGTAGTAAGGACAATAGCACACACCAAATACAAACACATTTACGACTAGGGAATGTATTTTTAATGACAATATTTTTATTCCTAGTGTTTTGATGATCTTTTCCTATTTAATTTTATACATAATTGACTACACATTTCATTTGCTATTTAATATAACATGAAATACAAAGAATTGATTGATGTTTTCATACTTTTATCTTAGAGACAAAAGGAATAATTGATACCTGTATTCAAGTCATGCATTAGAAAAGGACATCCTAAAAATCTCTATAAAGAATTGATTATTCCCCTACACTATTAAAAGATACTTGTAACTACTCCCAGAAGGGTCATTCACTCAACATCACCTTTGCTTCACTGAAACCTTCTACTTGTAGCATTATTTCCCCAAATACACAAAACAGCCTTCAGGGAGGTAGAAGTAAGGCTATTTGAAAAAAACGGTCTTACTATTTTGTGATATTCTGGCCTTTTGTGTGCAGGGCGAGACATCTCTCCTGATAGGTGAAGCACAATTTTCAGTTCTTTTCTTCAGTCAGTAGTCCTCTTGCCTTTTGTCTTAGCAAGTTCCTCCTTGCTTTGATGCAGGAGGGTTCTCTGCTGCCTTTGCTCTTTGCTGAATGGAAGAGGAAAAAACAAACAAACAAAACCCCACCAAAATACATGAACAGCAGCTCTGTCTTGTACTTTTGTAACCTGCTACTGAACAAGGAACAGCCTCCCTTGTAATCCAGGCCTGTAAAAGCTCACAGTGTGTGTGAAGTCAGACCCAAAGCACCAAGACACTAAAACCTCTCTAGCCCTAGGGAGTTGATGAGTGGTGTTTTGTTCAGATGCCAAGGTATTGTTTTAAAATCACAAACAGAAAACCTTTGCAATCTAAGACAGATCTAAATGTTAGCATTATTCACTCCCGTATTGATTGTTCTATGAATTACAGAGAAGGAATCAGCAGTCTTCGGCCACTGAATCTTGCATTTAAACCTGATCAACAAATGAGTTTCACATTGTCCGCAGAATACTTCCTGCCCCTGTCGTGCGTCTTTACAGTATCAGGACAGATGTAGCATCTTGTTTTGGAAAGAGAACTTTTCACAATGACAATCAGCAATTTTAAGGAGCCATAATTTCCTTACAGAGCTGTTGCTCAGAATGGATGCTCTACAGTTTAATAATGTATAATGATTCTGGCAGAGGGAAGAAGCCCTTAGCTTTCTTTCGATGGTTCCCGAGCTATTGGAGGCACTCTTTATTTATGCAAAAGCACATATATTTAAAGTTCAAACAAAGAAGTCACATCGTGACAAATGCAGGGTGCAGTAGTGCAAAGCTGTTCCAGAAATAGACATGGAAGATTCGGTGGAGGAGCAATCTTCCACTTCTTACATCTTGAGACAATTAGTCCTATTGGTTCTGGTACACTCTTCCTGCAAAGTGAAGACAGGCGAGCACTTTGAAGCACAGTGTGGCACAGTTGAAAGAGCCTAGGATGTCTGGCAAGGCCCCGAATTAGTTGCAATTCTCCTGATTACTGGCTGTGTGGCCTTGGACAAGCCACTTTATTGCTCTGTGGCTCAGTTTCCACATCTGTGAAATGGCAATAGTAATACCTGCCTCACAGAATAATTTGACTATCAAAGAGATGATATGCACTGTAAAACACATTATAATGCACTGTATAAAAATTAATTACTGCAGGCTCTTCTTACAGGTGGATACATGGGATGGAATTCTATACCATGTGAAGTAGTTCTGTTTGTTCTGTGATACCATGGTCTCAGGGAAATCGGTAATACTTTCTTTGGAGAATTTGACAGTTTTCTTAAGGGCGGACTGATAACATATTTACAACTTCACAGCTTACAACATGGTTTTCAGGGTCTATATTATTTTAATTCAACTATAGTCACTGAAGTAGTCAGTATGACTCGTTGCCATTTTATAGGATAGGAATATAAAAATAAAAAGACTAACAAAGCCCTTCAATCTGATCTCAATAGTAGGGAAAAAAACTGTTTTCAGATTCCAAATCCCCCCCCCCGTATCTATTGTATGCATTCTAACATAGTTGATAAAAAATTTAGACGTAGACACTAAACAACTATGAATGTGCAATTGACAGCATATTGCCAATTTAGGGGATAATTTGGGCTTCAAGGTAAGAGACCCCCAAGAGGAACAGGAAAGGTCTATGTACTTGTAATGAGGGAAAGATGGGGCTATAATCAACGGATACAATGCCACGGCTGTGTCATGGTCATATCAAGGCCGATACACAGCTTCAAGATGTCATAGGTACCTTTGTAAAGTTGACTCTTTGCTCCAGATTGACAAGGTTGTTTACTTGCCATCAGCCTTCCAGATCAGCCCCAGGACATGACTGAGGAAGGAACTAAGTGCCTGACAGTTACACTGAACACATCATGGGCAAACACAGCCATGGCCATTGTCACTTGGACACTGGTTTGCTCATTTTTAGACTATGAAACTCAGCATCCTTCAATACTTTTTATCATTGGAGTACACCTTGTGCCTCCCAGGCCCCATCTTTTTTATGTAAAAACATCCCACTTTTAAACAGGAAAAAACATAGTTTGGTACTTCCAAACGTAAGTGACCAATGTTTGCCCTGGAACTAGAGCAGGGAGGAGAATTGGTTCAAAATAATGCCCAAGGGTTGTGTTTCTACTTTTACTAATGATTGTTAAGCTGGCTAGAATAGAATCTGGAGTCAGGATTGAGGAAAGAAACACTCTTCAGTCTTGTCAAATTTGCCAGCTGTCAGCCACCACAAATTAATAGTGCCTTGGACCATACCTCTACCCACCACTTCCCCGGTCCTTTGGGAGGTAGCCTGGGCAACTGAGTGAAGACTTGGAAGGTCCTAAGAGAAGACAACAGTGACCCCCAGCTACCAAAGTACTGTACAGAGTCTCGCTTCTTATACATCTTTACTGGGATCTAGGGACCTGGTTCAGTGGGTAACATGTAAAAGCAAGAGGACTTGAGTTCAAATCCCCAGCATCCCCTAAAAAGGCAGGCGTAGCTACATATGTCTATAACCCCAAAATTGGCAGGCTGAGACTGATTCTGCAAGCTCATCAGTCAGCCCAGCTGAACCAATGAAATCTGGCTCAGGAAAACTAAGAAATGATAGGGCTGGAGAGATGGCTCGGAGGTTAAGAACACGACTGCTCTTCCAGAGGTCCTGAGTTCAATTCCCAGCAACCACATGGTGGTTCACAACTATCCGTTATGAGATCTGGTGTCCTCTTCTGGTGTGCAGATATACATGGAAGCAGAATATTGTATACATAAGAAATAAATAAATAAAATTTTTTTAAAAAAAGTAAGAAATGATAAAGGAAGACACCAATGACTTTGCCTGGCCTCCACATGTATGTGCACGAATACATGCACATGTGCTCTCTCTCTCTCTCTCTCTCTCTCTCTCTCTCTCTC